AGACCCTCTATGAGATGGATTGATTCGGTGACTGGGGTAATCGGGATGGGTGTGTTGGAGGCAGTGCGGTTGGCGCAGGATAGAGCAGGGTTTAGGGCTGTTGTGCATAGGGTCGCTATGAGTCGCAAACGACTCGACGGCACCTAACAACAAACAACACAACATACATTCTTCAGAAAAGCAAAGTCAAAATCTACTATATGAAGTAGGTCAATCTTTTGAGTCAAATTTGAAACATGAAACTAATATTTTAATTTTTCCTACTTAAACTTATGAACTATCACTAACCAAGTATCCCAACTTTTTTCCCTATTTTTCTGTCTCTCTCTCACCCACAAAGTCACTCATTGAGTCCTGTGTATTCCTGGTATTTTAGTGTCTGATCATGTGTCCTGGATGCCTTGTTTCTAATTTGCTTTCTGAATAGCACAAACAAAGGCATTTTGTTTAATACCTAAATAATGTGCCTCATTGTAATTTGACAAACAGTAGGGATAAAAGAAGACATGGTCATCTGCCTGCTGCTACCACCACTGTCTGATTTAGTTGGCTTTTTAAAATTTTTTTAGTCATACACCAGTTGTATACCAGGCAGTGCAAATGGTGAGAAATATGGTCAAAATAATCTTGAAAGATTTCCCAGTTTCTATAAGAAATATGTGTACAAAAATGAACGTTACAGAATAAACATGAAATACACAGCTTGATAGACTCCAACAGGGAGAGACTAGTTTGCTCTCTGGAAGCAGGAAGGACAAGATGATGTACAGAATGGGCAGCCAGGGCAGGAGATCTAGGGAGGTAGGAATTGGATTTTCAAGGAACGAAGGGAGAATATAGAGGTTCTGTGTATTCTTTATGCTTGGTGAGTGGGAAGGGAAGGGAAGGGAAGGGAAGGAAAGGTAGGTGACAGGAGAATGGATTTGTTCTGAAGAGATCCTCATCACCAGCACATATCTCAAGTCCTCTAAATACACAGCAAAGGAACTCGGTGCTCTGGTGGTAAGGAGTTTTACTGCAAACCTAAAGGCATACCATTCAAATCCACCAGCTTCTCCACAGGAGAAGTCACTCCTCCCACATAATTTACAGCATCTTAAAAATCCACTGGAAGTTCCAACTTGACAGCACAAAACAACTATTATAAAAAGAGGGAAAGAGGATGATAGAAAACCCTTCAAGAGGCTGAGCATAATAATATCTGCTGTAAGGATGTTGTATCACCTGCTGACTTCTTAAAATGACACTTGAGAGAAATTGTCTTCTGTTCTTGAGCTTTTGGCTGTTTTTATTTTATGGGCCCTGCGGGTTCTGTTACGACCCCTTTTCACTTTGGCTGCTAATATGTGGCTGGTAAGTTTGTGACCCACCTGTTGCAAGAACAGAGGATGCCCTACAATATCTGTTTCTATTGGCTTTCATTCTGACTCTGTTAGAAATTACTCCCTTTTCCCCTGCCCTTCCTCTGCATCCCTTCACCCCTCTCCACTTACTTGTTTTCTTGTTCTCACACTATTTTATATTCGTCTTCCTCATCTTTTGTAAAGCCCTTCTAGGAAAATAATAATAACAATTCCTCAAAATTTCAACCTTTTCAAGTAAAACTAATACTTAAAATATATCTTTTTAATGACAATAATGAATGTATTAGTATGTTAAATACATATTTTGTGGGAAAATATTCTGAAAAGACATGAAAAGAAAAAGAAAGTTCTGTCTTGGGGCTGATTCTATATAAAAATATCAATGAAGTACAGAACAGAGGTAGGGAAAGGAAAGGAATTTTTAGGAACATCTAGCCCATAATTTTAGCAAAAATGGTTTTGGCAAGTCTCTGTGGCCCTGGAGAAATCTCTCCTGTGAAATGTCAGCACTGTGGGAGATTTTCTCCGAACTTGTGTGTCTGATGCCACCAGGAGAATGGGTAGTGTTTAACAGGGCACTGAAGTGGCAGCCAACAGTAACATCATCTCTTCTGACTGAGCCAGCTGAGTAGCCAAGAGAGTGGTTGTTCCTTAAAGACCTTGCTAAACTCACTTTTCCTCGCTCCCTCTCTCATCTCTCTGAGAATTCTCCATTCGTATGCTGGGGCTATCCTATACTTTGGATAAGAAAGAATGATCCTTCTTATTCTTCTAAGCCAGCTCTGATTCTAACTTCTCACCATCTTCTGAAGGTGCTGCTTCTCATTATCTTTGTATTTATTTGAATATGAATTTACTTCTCCAGCCCTGCTAGGGAGTTGAAAGGTCTTAGTAAATTGCTTAAACCCAGTAGCTTTCCCTGCATAACATTTCTTAGATCCACTATTTCTTCTGTTCCTTTGCCAAGATACTTGCTTTACCTGGGTCTTCTGTTATTTCCCAGTGTAAACATTGTTATTCCACTCCCACCCTAAGGAACCAGGCCCCTGAGCTCTTTAGGGGCTTTAATTCACCAATGACAGTTCTTCCTGGGATCAATTCCTCATTTTCCACTCTGCATCTAATATTAGCTTCTGATTCACAATCAGACCTTTTTAATTCCTACACGTTTCAATACAATACCTGGTACTAAAAGCGTAAGGGTTTCTGAATAATGTGACCTCTTTCCTTTCTTTTCTGCCACTGCTTTTGTTCCACTGCTTCTTTGTCTCTAAGCTCCCAACTCCCTCACCCTTCCCAGCCTTTTGATTTCACATATTTCCTCTCCTATTCTGCCTTCACAGCCTTTGGTTTCAGAAGAATGATTTATACTTTCTTAAAGGGTGAGGTTTTGTGTTCTCAATTGTTATTTCTTTTGCAGCTCCACCGTGGTGAATCGAGCTTCCTCAGTGACTGATATGTCCCAGGAACACACAAGGAAATCAGTTGGGTCTCCAGCTAAGGTAGATTGAACCCAGACTTTGAGAAACGAATTTCTTGTGGGCTGAATGCTGTTTTTTTCGAAGCATCATGAAATGAAGATTGTGTAATACTTCTTTTGTATTGTTGGGTTTTTTATAATTGGGTTCAAGAATATAGATAACTTAATATTTTATATAAGAAGTCATTCTTTTGATGGAAAAAAGTTAATGAGTACCCTATTATTACATTGTTGAAGTTCTAAATTTCTTGTACTAGGGAGTACAACAAGGTCTAAAACTATATGGGGTTGCTGCTTTTAAGACATGGAATGGAATTTTTTTAGTTCCATGTCAGTCCTTATTCCTACTCACAACTTTCTTAATCTCTGTTAGAAATCTGTTTATAGGAGACACTATCAGTTTATGAAATTGTAGATAGTAAGCCTTGGTATTCACTTAATATATTAACTAAAAAATATCAATTTGCTGATACTCTATGCCATTACAGTTGATAATCATTGTAATGACCATGAAGTATTTCAAGATACCTAATATCTTCTAAATCCATCTAGAGAAGATCAGTTATGATTCTTTGTGGCACCACTTTAATCTGTTGTTGTGTGCCATCGAGTTGGAGCCAACCCATGTCTGACTTTCCAGTGGGTTTTCAAAAGCAGTCAGTTGTGTGGGAGAAGATTGCTCTCCTTCCGTGGAGCAGCTGGTGGATTCAAACGATGTGCCCTTGGGATTGGAGCTCAACTCTTACCACTAGGCCACCAGAGCTCCCTCTATGTCAGTGTAGTACATTTGATAATCTAGGATAGTATAAAGAATATTGGTGGGGATTTAATCAGATTCACTTCTCAGAGTTACCTTGGTCTTGACCAGGCCTGTTAATCTATCCCAGACCCAGTTTTCCTACCTTTATAATCTGGGATTTATGTTTAAATGTCTATTTCTGGTATACCTTTATAAGACTCTGGAATTTATTATGTTTTATACAGTTTTAGGTTGCCTAGTGGATCGAGTTGTACTGTCAACCCAAAGGCAGGAGATTCAAATCCTCCAGCTGTTCTAAAGGAGGAAGAAGGGAAAATCTCCTCCCATGTAATTTACAGCTTCAGAAAGCCAGCTGGAGGGTTAGCTATGAAATGGTTCCAACTTCACAGCAATGAGTTTGAATTATGGGATTTTTAAAATAAAAATGTGGTAATCAGATTAATCAGGACATCCATCTTCAAACATTACAGATAGAGTTTGCTTGATAAAACTATCAAATACAGGAGATAGTAAACATATTTTAATACTAATGTAACTGTTAATATATCTTAAGTGAATTTAATATTAAACACTATTTTTCCCCAGCAAAGGAAGAATCCATTTAATAGCTCTAGTTTGCCAGACGATCACTTATCTCAACAAACCGAAAATGAACCATCAAAAAATGGAAGGGCTGGTTTATCTCAGACTTCAAAAGAGGGTAAATATTATTTTTATGGACTAAGTATTTTTATCTTTGTTATTTGTGGATTGAGGGAAATTCTCAGAGTTCTTTTCACTATTAAAATAATTTCCAAGAGAAAGTGAAAAATCCTGATGGTTTTCTAATTCCTCTATGCTTATTGATTTCCTGCCTGAGGGAGAAATTTCAGAAACTGAAAATTCATGCATTCCAATTTTACACTGTCACTTGTAGTGTGACCTCTGTGCCTTGGGTTTCACCATTAGTGAAGAGGCATTCAGTCATTCTTTTAGTAGTATTTATTGCATACCTTCATGAGTGAATGCTGTTCTTTTATTTTTTCTTAATTGAAGAGTTTGTCTTGTGAAGAAAAAGTCATTTGACAGTTACAATCCCTTAATTTGTAATAAGGAGCCCTAGTGGCATAGTACAACAACAAGAACAAGAGTGGCATAGTGTACACAGATCAGTAACTGAAAGATTGATAGTTCTCATCTACCAGCCATGCTGAGGGAGAAAGATGGACAGTCCCACCCATGAAGATTTACACCCACGCAAAATTTATGAAGGTCACTGTGAATCAGACTCAACTCAACAATAGGTTTTAATCTGTAATAATCAGTACCATCTCCCAAGAGTATTTGATACTTTTGTGGCTTAATTGACTTAAATGTATCTCTTGTGGAATAGTAGTCACTGTTACTACTTATCATTAAGGACTAAGTAACACAATGACAGTTCAAACCTACCAACTATTCCATGAGAGAAAGATGTAGCAGTCTGCTTCTATAAAGTTTTATAGCCTTCAGAACCCTGTGAGGCTGTTCTGCTGTCTAATAAGGAGGCTGTGAGTTAGAATACTCTGTGGCAAGGAGGTTTTGGACCCACAGTGAAGAGAAAATACTCTTCAAAAGCATCTACAGAATGGTTGATTCCATGAGCATTAAAGGCTGCTCAGGGATTAAAAAATGAACAATTGAATAATGGAATTGGACTTTTCATTTAGCTTGTTTCAATATTACTGGGTTTCCCCCCCTTCCCTTTTGGACATACTTGTTGTTATTGTTCTGTGCCATCGAGTCACTTGCGACTCATAGCAACCCTATGCACAACAGCCCTAAACTCTGCTCTGTCCTGTGCCAATCGCACTGTCTCCGACGCTCCCATCCCAATTATACCAGTCACTGAATCAATCCACCTCATAGAGGGCCTTCCCCTCCTGCGCCGTCCCTCCACCCTCCCAAGCATGATGTCCTTCTCCAAGGACTCATCTCTCCTCACAACATGTCCAAAGTAAGTTAGACAGAGCCTCAGAATCCTTGCCTCCAAGGAGCCACCCAGTTTAACCCTTTCCAGGACGAATCTGTTTGTTTTCCTAGCAGTCCATGGTATTCTCAATACTCTTCTCCAGCACCACAGCTCAAAGGCATCAATTCTCCTTCTATCCTCTTTGGTCATTGTCCAACTCTCTGATGCTTAACAAGTGATTGCGAAGACCATGGCCTGTATCAGACGCACCTTAGTCTCCAGAGAGACACCATTGCTCTTCAGTACTTTGGAGAGGTCCCTAACAGCAGACTTTCCCATGGCAATGCGCCTTTTAATTTCCTGGCTACTGGTGCCAAGAGTGTTGACTGTGGAGCCAAGCAAACTAAAGCTGTGAACAATCTCAATCTCTTCACCATCCATCCTGATGTTGCCAATTGGTCCAGTGGTGAGAATCTTTGTCTTCTTGACATTGAGCCTCAATCAATATTGTAGGCTGCAGTCCTTGACCCTCTGCAGCAGGTGCTTCAGGTCCTCTTCTGTTTCAGCAAGCAGGGTTGTGTCATCTGCATAACGCAGATTGTTGATAAATCGTCCACCAATCTTGACCCCACATTTCTCCTCATAAAGCCCAGCCTCCCGGATAATCTCTTCTGCATATAGGTTGAAAAGGTATGGAGATAGGATGAATCCCTGGTGTACGCCCTTCCCAATTTTGAACCATGCAGTGTTCCCTTGCTCTGTTCTGATGACTGCCTCCTGGTCCAAGTATAGGTTTTGCATTAGAACGATCAAGTGTTCTGGGATTCCCATTCTTCTCAGAGTCAGCCACAGTTTGTTATGATCCACACAGTCAAATGCCTTTGCATAGTCAATAAAATACAGATAGACATTCCTCTGGTATTCTCTGCTTTCAGCTAAGATCCATCTAACATCAGCTACAATATCCCTAGTACCACGACCCCTTCTAAACCCAGCCTGGACTTCTGGCAGTTCTCTGCTGATGTGCTGTTCCAGTCGTTTTTGGATAATCTTCAGTAAAATCTTGCTTGCATGTGAAATCAGTGAGATTGTTCTATAGTTTCCACACTCTGTTGGGTCACCTTTCTTTGGGATAGGAACAAATATAGATCTCTTCCAGTCAGTTGGCCAGGTGGTTCTCCAGATTTCTTGGCATACTTAATACAACAAAATATCTCTTAGGAAAAAGATTACTAGAACATGTTATCTGCTGTTGTTGGTATTCTTTTTAACTTTTTTACAGAAGTGAACATTTGCTTTATATACTGAGATTTTCTTTTTCCTGATTTTCATGTGGGAATTTTCAGTGACTTCTGTTTTAGTTTCTTAACTTTCTTTGCATTTGTAGGAACTTTTCTGAGTGTGAAAGTAACAGTCTATAAAGGCACAGTAATGTTCCATATGCAGTGCAATGAAGTGAAGGCATAAACTTTCCAATGCTTTTTACATTAAACCTGTAAATATGTTACACATTTTATTGTCAGTGGTGCAAGACCAGGCAGCATTTTGCTCTGCTTGCTATACTAGTTTACTTCAAGTCAGAGCCAACTAAATGGCATCTAACATCAACAAAATTTATATTATTAAGTTACTCTCCATTTGATGATATCACCTAATCAGGTTTCCTTTTCAGGTGAATTGTCCACATCAAGAGAAAAGTCACTGGTCCCGGATATTTCAAGCCAAATACTTGAGAAACCAAAGGAGACTTTTCCAGGCCCTGTGAATAATTCCCAGTCCAAAGCTCCAATCCCAAAAGCCAGGAAAATGGTCTCTAAGTCAAATGACTTACTGCACGGGGAGCATCAGTCTTTTCTTAGAAAGAGGACAGACTCCCTAAATGCCAAAGGGACTCCGAGAGGGATCCTGAAGCGCAACTCCAGTTCCAGTAGCACAGACTCAGAAACTCTGCGTTTTAATCAGAACTTCGAACCTAAAAGTAAAACCGTGTCACCTGGCCTAACCATCCATGAGAGAATCTCTGAGAAGGAACACTCTTTAGGAGATGCCTCTTCCCCAAATGCACTGGAACCATCAAAGCACGTGCGATTCTCTGCAGTCAAAGATGAGCTTCCACAAAACCCTGCGCTAACCCACGGCCGAGAAGTGGGAGAATTTAGTGTTTTGGAATCCAACAGGTTAAAGAATGCACCGGAAAAGACAAGGGATGCTGATGGCCTTCAGGATAAGCCTGAGCCTTCCCACCAGGGAGAGCCTTTACGGTGTTGTCATCCAGCCTCCAGCCCCGGAATGTCAGAAGATGAACCACAGCTGCCAGCAACTTCGGGTTCTTTTCCTACAAATGGACCCTATTCTCACTCAGGAGCTTCAACTGCAAGGACACAGTCCTTCAAGAATTCACCCACCATCAATGAGTACACAGCTAACACATCAGAATTAGCAAAGCCTGGGTCAGAGTTCTCCAAAAGGCCTGCTGGTAAGAGAATTGTTACCATGTGCTGAAAACTGAGATGGTGGGCTTGAAAGGGCTGGGCCTATCTGCCCCATTGAAGCACAAGTCTGTCTCCTAGGCATTCCAGCTCTCAGGCATCTTTGACATTCAGGCAGGTGTTACTGGGAGATAATACTCTGTTTTCTTTTTAATCATGATTTGTCTGAAAGTTTACAAATCTTCATGATTTTCCATTTAATAATATTAATGTGTTTGCAGGTTTTCTTAAGTCACTGATAACTAAGAAAACTAGGATATCGGGTTTGGGGCCATTGTGCTTTACTCCAAAAAAGAAAACATATAAATTATTTGGCTAAACAAATTATAATGTTTTTCATTAAATCAAGCTTACAGCAGGGTTCAGAGATGTTGTGCATAGCGTCGCTATGAGTTGGAGATGACTGACTTGATTTATGCACATAACAACAACAACATATAAGGCACAGGGTAGGCCTGCTGTTAAGAAATTGTACTGCAAAGCCAAAGGCAATCTGTTTGAATCCACCAGATGCTTCACAGGAGAAAGATGGGCCATATGCCCCTATATGATTTACTGCCTCTGAAAAGCCACTGGAGGGTCAGCTATGAATTGGTTGTGTGTTCATTGGCGCAAACCATCTATCTATGGTGATCTGGCAGTGTAATCTGTAGAGAGTTGTCCCAATAATGCCAAAGCAGCAGCTCCCTGAGAGTTCAAATCCAATAGCTGCTTTAATGGGAGAAAATTGTGTAATCTCCTCTTGTGGGATTTATAGCCTCAGAAACCTTCAGGTGGAGAGTCAGCTAGTGGATTGGTTCTGACTCAGTGGCTATTGGGGGGGGAAGCCAGAAAAAGGTAAATATTAATGCCTTTGTATGCAACAGTTATGTTATTACTACTCACCTGATGAAAATTTAGGAGCTTTGGAGACATCCATAATATGTCAGATTGCTAACTAAAAGGTCTGCTGTTCTGTTAGAAAGCTGAGTCTTCATTCAGGTAAAGATTTTTACATCCTCAGAATCCCAATTAGTGATCACTATGAGTTGGAATTGACTTCTTGGCAGTGGATTGGATTTTTTTTAATTTAATGAAAATTTATCAACTATTGTTTCACCAAAGGTTGGATTTTGTTTTAATTTCAAGAGAATCTTTACTATTCTCCCCTTACCCGCAAAGGATGAAAACTTAGCTTAGTAATTACTATTAAAAATCCTCAGGGTTTGGCTTGCCTGGAGCCTCCAACCGTTTGTTCTGAAGAGTTTCAAAGCTCTGAAGGAGGCTTGTCCTTCAGCTGGTCAAATGCCAAGAAATCTGTTGCTTTGTGCTACTAGCCAACTCTTAGCCCCTTTCCTGAAGACCTTGTAACTCTCAGGTGATACCTCTAACTGCTTTCCTAGACCTGTATAAATGTTTTGTATTCTTATGTTTTAAAACCAGAAACAATGAGATAAATGTTGTATATTTTTATAACCTTCATAAATCTGCCTCCAAAACTGATAATAGTATCTTTGCAGTCAGGAAAGTGTTCACAGCAATAGTCCTATCTCAGTTGTCTCCCTCTTGGTACAAGGTTAATGCCAAATCACTTTGCCCAGCCATACAGTTTTGTACTTGTTCCGGTCAATCTGTCTTCATCTGAAAAGGCAAAGCACTTTTCTCTCGATTGGGCATTTTTAAATCATTTGATCACCTTTCCTTTTTTTTTATTAAAATGTAGCAGATTCTTATTTAATAAATAAATTCTACTAAGGGAAATTACTAAAATGTGAGTAAATGTTATAAAATAATTACATAGTGTACTTTTTATTTGGTGATATTTCTCCTTATTATCAGTAGAAAAAAATTTATAAGCATTTTCTGGTTTTCATATTGTACCTGCTTTCCCTCTTTATAGTTTTATATTAACTACTTGTGCTTTCTGGTTTTTTTAAATCCCAACTTGACCATTAAATCTGAAAGGTAGACATTAGCTAGATGCATTTTGCTTTACTAACAGCCCTTCTGATCTCAGAGAGAGTTCATAAACAAGGTTTTGCTTATTTATTTATGCCCTGCTTTTTCCCCTAAGTGCCACAAAATGCACACAATTATATAATGGAACATAAATAGAAAACCAGAACCCAAAAGGTGGTAAACTGTAAGTCTGTGAATCATGAATCGTAAGTCTTTTTCTCCGAACTTTAGGACTTTGAATATCTTAACTTGTTGTCAGACTTGGACACACAGATGTACTCTCAAGAATTATTCTTTAAAAAGAATTTTTTAAAAAACTAAAGTTACTGTGTTCTCATTTAAGATAAATATATTTCCATAGTAAGCCATCAAAGAAACACATCAATCAAATAACCACCAAAGTTATCTCTACACATCATTAACTATACTTAGCATTGTTTTATTCTCCTGCTCTGGAGCTGATACTGACTCAGCAATCTTACAGAGCAGAGTAGAATTGTTTCGTGGGGTTTCTGAGAGCAAACTGCCTCATCTTTCATTTAAGAAGTAGCTGGTGATTTTGAACTTCCAACCTTTCCCGCAGCACTTAACCCATTTTGCTACCAGGGCTCCATTGTAGTCTTCTAATAATTTTAAGCCTAAAGAATTTTTTTTAAATTGTGCCTGTCCCGCCTAGAGTTCTTTTTGATGAACTGTAAATCAGAAATATTTTGTTCCTTCCTATTCTTTAATGCAAACTAATACTCAATTCTAAAGAGTTTTGAATGGTACCTTCATAACTACTGGTATAGATCTACTAGTACTAGTACAGTGCATAGTTAAGGGGGGGAAACCCAATACGTACTGTGAATCCAGTCTTGTAGAGGCTTTTATTGTCTTCACATTTAGCTAGAGTTGCTGATTAAGATTGAACAGAACTTTTTAGGTAGCATATCTTCCAGTACATTTGAAATATGACTGACTTCATAAAAATTATACCTAGGAATAGCCCTATACTTGTATTACATAGATTAACATTTATAAGGTAGAGACATTTATAAGGAAGAGAGTTGCTGACACACCTGAGTTTTAACTAAAAGGGAAGAAAGCTCTTCTATTCTCTGATCTAAAGTGGTGTATTATGTATCCTGTGATAAGGATCAGAAAGGATTCTCTCTGATTTCTTAATAGCTTAGAAAGGATTTAAGTATCTTTATCCTCCTGACTATTAGAGAGTGGAGATCACATTGTCCATTAATTCTCATATTGGTTTGAATTGGGCTCAGAGAAGCAACTTGTAACTTAATAATTATATTCCTGCGCTCTCTCTTCATATATTTTTATTTTGTATATCAGAAGTAAGGCCCAGGAATATACATTTCCTAAGTGTGTGTGTATGCCTGCACACATACACACACACACATACATACATAAGTGTACATGTACATCTATGAATAAATAAATAAATTATCTACCTGGAAAAGATAATTCTGTCAAATTTTCTGGAGGTGATTCTTTGTTTAGTTGTTCTTGAAAGTTGTTCTTGAAATTTTTCCCCCCTGAATCTCCTAAGTTTGGGTTCTCAAACTTGGGTGTAGGAGCACTCTGTAATGGCAGTATGCCCAGAGGTGGACAAAGTCCTAGAAACCTGAATTTGCAGCCTTACTCAAAGATTTGAGAGCAAAATAAAGTGTAGCAACATGGAGTAGAATGCAAAATTCATATGAATTTTTTAAAATAAACCAGGAACTCCAAATAAAAATTGCAGCTAAGCCTACGTTGCGTATTTCCACAGAGCCACATTTATCCTTCTTGACTGTGATACAGACTTTAGTAGAATACCGATTTTAGGGTGATTGGAATTATTACTCCAGAGTGAGAACAATATGAACAACTACTGAGAAGGAAAATGCTGGGAAAATATGCCTTTTTTAAAAGATAAATTGAGTGAACGATTAGTAACTTTTTGATCATTCTCTTATTTAGAAAAGCATTTCTGTGTTGCAGATGAACTGTCTCATTGTGTTGAACCTGAGCCGTCTCAGGTGTCAGATGGCAGTTTCCGAGACCATCAGCAAGGTAAGCTTCCTCTTCTCACTGCCCTAAAAGTTAAGACTCCTTCGCACTCTGATCCATATGCTACTGAGATAATGAAGACAACTGATGATTCCATTTCCAAAGTCCTAGACTGGTTTAGTCGAAGTTCTCATTCAGATGACAAGAAATCATCCTCCAGACATCCCCAAGGAATAGAGCCTGAGGTGAGAACAGACTTAAGATCAGAAACTCCTGTTGCCTTGGTGACAGATGATGCAAGTCTAAAAGAAAAATATTCAAAAGCCCCTTCTTCTACCCAAGATGAATTGATGACTGTGGGATCGAATTCAACATTCCAGGTGGAGGGAGGTCTGATACCATCTGCAAATAACCAAGATAATGATGTGACTATCAAATTGAAATCTATTCATTTATCCCATCAAGGCACCACAAAGGAACACCATGGCATATCTCAACCATTTGAAAGCTGTGGTATGAGTCAAGGAAGTGAAAATATGGACTATAGCCAAAGTTCAAAAAATCCAGGAGAAGGACCTGGGATATCCTCCCCAACAAGCAACTATTCTTACAGTACTCTCAAAGGATCTGACACAGAAAGCCAGGTTCCATGTTGCATTAAGGACGCTGACATCTTGAATGAAGACAAGTCCAAGCTTTGTGTCCATGAAAAAAATAGAGGAAACTCCAAAGAGAATTTTGACACTCCAGCTGTCAGAGAGCTGAATTGGAAAGACAGCACGAAAGCAGAGAGAAAGAGCAAAGGAGACACACACTCTCTGAAAGCTCCCTTAGAGACAGAGAACACTGAGTTACCATCTGGAGCTGCCAAGGATGTTTCTCCTTGGAAAAAGCTCGAGGTTGAATTACAACAAGAAACAAATGAGCTTCCCAAGAACCAAGTACAAAGAGAGAAATACAAACGAGTGAGTGAGAGAATATCCTTTTGGGAAGGAGAAAAAGCTGCTGCCAGCTTAGCTTCCAGAGACCCCACATCTTTACGCAGCCAGGGACTACCTTCTGTTAAAGCCCATCAGCCTGTGAAGTCACTCAATGTGTCCAAAGATCGGAGTCAATATAATCAAGACCCTGCTAAGCAACTTGTTTTAGATGAGGACAGTCAAACATCCCATATTTCTAGTTTTCATTCCTCAGATAAACTTAAGGAGACACAGTCTTCAAGGTCAGGAACCTCCAACATAAATGAACCGATGAAAAAACTGCCAGTGGTGGAGAGGTTGCATTCTGAACAAGACAGTCCTTTAGTTGCATATCAACATCCCTTAAATGATGGAAATAAATTTCATCCTTCCTTGGAGAAAGGCAGCCTTCTGCCTGGTGAATCAAAACCCAACTTTAAAATTTTGTCTCTAAAAGAAAGAATGGATGATCCCAATACAGAACAGGTCTATAATCACTCTCAGTTTGAGAATTTGCGTAAGTTTTGGGACTTAGGAACGAATTCAAACAGTGAGGTTGATGTTGAGAAGAGAGGTACCATCAAAAGCCACAAAAACTCTGTGCCTTCTCTGTGCCAGAAGCATAAAGAATCCAGTGACATTAAGTCATCTGGGAAAAGTACCAGTGAAGTAGAGGAGTTTCTGAGCCATAAAAACGTTGCAGCGAGAGAGGAAATGGAGAAGTTAAACTCAAATTGCATACCTCAGGTGCTACCAGATGAAACCACATCCCTATGGAGACGCCCCTGCACAGCGACTCATCAGATGCCAGGAAATGAGTCGTCAGAGGAAAATGTGGAAAAGAGTACAGAATGGTGTGTTAGTCCAGTAATCAGGAAAGACCAAGACATTGAAGAGTCCATAGTGAAAGCAAGTGTTTTTCCTAAAGATAACACAGACACTTTCAGTGACCGCCTACAGAAGCTGCTTGCAGAAGCTGCATCATCACCTTCGAGTAGAAACACTCATGAGAAACAAGAGCTTGAACCAGATTTTTCTGAAAGTAGAACATGCCCTCAAAAGTCAGATCTAGCTGAGGAGGAGGAAGAAACCGGGCAACCTAAAGAGATCATTAATGAACATGTGGAAAAAACAGTAGCTCCTCCAAAGACTGATCATAGCACTTTTATTGCTAATCTGGACAAACTCCTGACGGGAGCATCTGAAATTTCACTTTCTTCCTTGCAAACCAAGTTGGAGCCTGTGACCACTGGACCCAACTCTGAGCCTGCAGAGAGGAAGGTTGTTGAAAAAGTAATGGAAGAGAGTGACAGCTCTTCAGAGGAAAGGGAGACAGTAAATCCTTTTCCAGAGGAGAAAGAGACTTGGGGAAATGCAGCTGTCTTCCAGAAAGGTCAAAGTGGTGAGTGCCAGCCACGGGCACAGAGGGAATTTCAGACGGCTGCGGAAGCTCCTCACCATCTTCACCGAAAGGGTTCTTTTAGTGATGGAGCCACCTCAGGCCAAAATATACCACTTTCTCAGGGTGCCCGCCTTCCTCCCCAAGATAAGACACTGCCTTTTCAAGGGGAAATTTCAGAAACTATAAAAAAAGCAATTCGTCCACCCAGAACTGCATTGACTAATGTAGATGCTGCATTGCAGAAACTACTTGAAGAAGCCCAGTTGAGTTGTTCAGCTGAGAGAGAAATGGTTCCCAGAGAAGTGAAAACAGAATTTCCTGAAAGAATACAGGCAGCAGGTAGCCCTCAGATTCCCCTAGAAGTTTTCATATCTGAAGCTGCAACCATAGTTCCAGATGGAAATGATTTTTATTCCACAGACTTAGGTGCTGATAAAACCTATGAAATGGCGTCTTACGTAGCGCCTACAGACAGAGCAGCCCGAATGTTTCTGCCAGGACAGAACCTTAGCTTATCTGATTTTACTGTTGCTCTGTATAGCAAAGAACTACCTCAGAAAGGAACAGAAATTGTGAGGGAAACATTTATTCAGCCCAAATCACAGCGCCTTGAATTCAGCACTGGCTTAGAAAAACTACTGGAGGAAATAGGGGGAAATTTCCCTTTAATAAGTGAAAGCAATACAAAGACTTTTTCTTCTTTAGAATTAATAAGTAGTACTGAGGGAACGAGGCAAGCTCCTTATGAATTTTATCCTGAGGAAATAAAAGAAACAGTAGAAAAATCCGAGGCTCCCTTAATAACCGAGAATGCTTTTGACACTGGTTTAAAAAAACTCCTTGAAGAAATATCTGAAGCTCCTTACCAGTTTCAGATGTCAGTGAAGGAAAACACTTCTGAGGTGGAAACTTCCCTGTCAGAAAAGGCCATTTCCTTGAGTCCAGTGCCCCATGTTTACAGGACAGCCACAGAGGCCTCTCAAATGAAGGTTAAGGGTGATGTTTTGAAATCACAGGTCAACCAATGCGATAAAGAATTGGGAGGAGATAATGCTTTGAGTGGTATCTATGATCGTGAAAGTGAGACTGAAAGTTCTTTAACTCCACAGCTTTATGTGGGCCATGAAATAGGGACCATTGAAACGATAAACTTTCCAGAGGACAGAGATCAGGAAGGAAAACTTACAGGAAGAAAAGGGAGTTTTCAAGAGCCTGCCTTGCAGGAGGCTCATGAAAAAATGAGTGTGTCTAGGAATGGGCAATCCATTCCTCTCCCGATGAACCAAGAAAATCCTACAAAAGCAAGTAAAGTTGAACTGTTTCTGGCATCACCTTATAAGAGACGAGAGAAAGAAGAGGAAAAAGGTTTCTCTGACTCCGATATTTCAGATGGAAACATTGGTTCTAATGCAGAAAGCTGGAGAACTACTTCCAGTGAGCATTTTGAAATTTTTAATTAATTGATTAATGCGTTTACCTTTTGGAATGCTGATGTAAAGAATCTCACATTTTTAAAAAATCTTGGATTTAATATGAAACTCCCTGAGGTTGCTAAATTTTTACCACTTTTGTTTTTCTGAAACTTTATTAATAAAAAGCCATCCATTTCATTTTCTATTTTTTAAAATCAGCTGATAATACAGAGGCAGCCTTCCTAAGTGATTGCATTTCAGAGTATAACCTTATTTCTCATCACTATGTCAATAGAATTTTTTAATTTCTCAGAAATTTTTTTAAAGACTTCTTAGAGTTAGAAAGCACATTTAGAAACTGTAGAGTATTATGCTGAGTGAACTAACTCAGTCCCACAAGGACAAATACTGTATAAAACCACTATTGTAGAATGAGTATGAGCATCTAAGGTAGGAGGGGGAGGTGGAAATACAGGTGTGAGGATGGGGAGATAGAGTATTAATCATAGGGTTGCACAAGTCGATGGGTGGGGGTGGGGTGAAGGAAATCAGAAGGAACTTTGGGGGAAAACAATGTATTCAAACTTTGTAAATAAATCAGAGTAATAAAAAAATTAAAAAAGAAAGTACATTTAAAACATTCCAGCTAGTTTTTCTGCTGGAAATAATAAGAATTTCTTAATTGGGAACCCACATGGAAGTCTCCATTAAGGTTTATGGCAAGATAGTGCCACAAATGGCCACAAATTTCCCTTTTAGGAGCCGTATTCCATCACAATACCAAGGACAAAGTCCAGGACTGGAACTTAGCCTAACATACCTTGTGCTGTGGTGGTTTTGTTGTCACCTTGTGCCCTTTTGCCCTCTTGTTTTCAGTAATTACATAATCTTAGCTATCTGCAAGATCTCCCCCCTCTAGAGTGTAACTTTGATCAGGTGACTTCACCTGATTCCACTTGAGAGCATTACAGGACTTGCTCCAGCTGATGGAGATCTTACTTGATAACCACTTTATCTAAGTGAGCTTGAGGGTGCTGACTTTAACCAGACTATAAAACGTAGAACCGGTTTGTTTGCTATTCTGGTCAGACGCGGCTGGGCATTTTTGCAGAGAAACCCAGGAACAAATAGAAGGAAGAAATTACCAATTAGAATGGTGACAAGATAGAGCATGCTGTTTGGCTGGGACATTTTAATTAAGGTTGTGTGACTAGGAATGCTGATAATCTTTCTTACTGTTTTATAAAGGTTTCCAAGCTGCCTTTGGTTTTTCATAAAACTTTACTGAGTGACTGGTTTCCAAAGTTTAGATTCCTTTGCAGATAGCTGATAAGTAGTCTTATCAACTTTTAGTCAAGTTGAACTCTCTTTACCAAATGTTGCTGAACCACTCACTGTTTCTCAGCTCTAAAACTAGACTTTCAGAAGAGTGCATTTGTTGAATGTTAAATTTGTTGAAGACTCTTACTAAACTACTACGCTTTCTGAGTTACTAGAATAAACTTACTTCAGAAGAGTTGAAGGGCTTGCAAATATATAATACTTTACTGATATATTTAGCCATATTTCTATCATTCCATCATAACTGATTATACAGCAAAAAACCTATCTAAAAATAATCAATACTAAATACTACTCGGACAGAGCTGTATAAGAGATTTTAAAATTATAAGCCAAGTTAGAAGTATAAAAGTCACAGTTCAAATCTTTATATTCTTTCCTTTTTATTAGTTTTAGACAGTTAAGGGGAGAAGACACTGAAGGGGGAAGCTAAGTACGAAGGTACCATAATTTTGGCAAATGAGCTAACATGTGGCTTGTGGCTCACCTCTTAACCAACCAATATTCAGTGATCTCCTGAAAGAAAATTGTTCTTTAGTCAAATAATTTTAGAAATGCTAAGAGATGATATGCATTTGTTAGCATATTAAAGCATATAAAGAAGATCTGTAGTGAGAAACCTTTTTAACCCTGAGTACAAAAAGTCTATCCCCTTCCTCCTCCTCTTTTCTTTGTGGGGGAGAGTGTGTTTAAAATGCCATACTTTGATAAAATGAAGGCATTGGTAGATGATGGAGTTTTCCTACTCACTTAAAATTTTTATTTTATTTTGTCTGAACATAAACACAGTTTAGTAAACTTTAGTAACACACCAATTCAACTATTTCTCCAGGTAGAATTATGTGACCTTGATTATATTCTTGTGTAACCATTCTCTTTTTATTTGAGGTGTTTCTTCACTATTAACATAAACTCACTGCCCCCTAAGGTTCTTGTTTAATCTTTCAAGGTGCTATTGTCCTTTTGATCCTACATGAGTTTTTAAAAAGGCAGACATTTTTCACTTTTTTTTAAAAAGACCTACCCCATGTCCTTCCCCAGAATAGAGCTATTGGAAATTTCACTCAGCCATGGCATTTTAAAAACATACATCTGTTGAACCTCCTTTGCTCGAATATACACAGATGTTTAACATCTGAATTCTTCCTTCCACAGTTTGCAACTCTAATATTGTTTTAATGCTTCTAAAATCATTTCATGTCATTTTGTCTTCAAAAGCTAGGATATTAAGTGAGAAGATTTAAAGTCTGGCACACAAAAATCATGTGCCTGAAATAGATGCATAAGCATCTAAGACACTCCATTTCTATTAATGTGGTAATCCTATTTCTGTATGATTTCATGCTTGTAAATGTTTCTTGGCCAAGAAAATAATTTTTCTAAAAACACACTAAACAAAAACACCAAACCTCTTGTTGTCAACTCAGTTCTGACTCACAGGAACCAGACAGAACAGAGAACTGTCTACTCGGGTTTCTAGGACTGTGATCTTTATGGAATCCAACTACCTCAGCTTTTCCTTGTGGAGTGGCTGATGGCTTTGAGCTGCTAACCTTTTGTTAGCTGTCATTTACTTAACCACTGTGCCACCAGGGCTCCTTAAAAAAATCTAAACTGATAGTTGACAAATTTTCTTTTCTTTTCTTTTCTTTTTTGAAATTTTATTTTCTTATGCGAAGTAAATTCTGCTCATAATAAACAAAAGTAGAAAGATATGGCCTTCTCTGTCACTTTCCAATCTACAAGTTCAGTTTGTTTTCTTCTTGTATTGTGCAGCATTCATCGGTTTTGTCTTGTAACAGGTTCAGAAGAAGAACCCAGTCCTGTTTTGAAAGCTATGGAAAAGAGTGCTGCTAGGAAAATGCCTTCCAAAAGTCTAGAAGATATTTCATCAGATTCGTCAAGTGAGAACAAAGGTTGCCCCACGGGTCATGCCAATCTAAGCTTAAAAATGCTATGTGCTCGTCTGTGGCTGCATGCTTTTGTGCACTGCAACCCTTGCAAGGGGTCTAACAAACTAGAATAACCTTTCCCACGCAAGCTGAGGAGACTCACCCTAAATTGTTGGGATGTTTGCTTTAAAGTAACGTATAAGATTTGATGAGCAGACCACTAGATTTCTTTGAATCAAAGAAGTCGGATTTGAGTGTTGACCTAAGTCCATTAAGTTTTAAAGGATTTTGATAGTCATAATACTATTAGTAGTAGGTAATATTTATTAAGCATGTTGTACCTAGTGTTTTATATACATTATCTCATTTAACCCTCACAAGCTCTTCTAAGGGATAAATTACTATCCTCATTTCACAGATGAAGAAAATAAAACTCAAAAAGGTAAGGTGACTTGCTTAGTGTCACACAACAGAGTCCTGACTCATCAGTGACGACTATTAAGAGCATTTGTGAAATGCCAGTGTTATATTTGACAGTGTTGAATGTCAGTGAACTTTGCAGGAAATGGAGATGAATTAGCTCCTGGCTTCAGAGGGCTTTCTTTCTCCCTTCATCCCTTCTTTTCTCTGGACACATTTCTTCTGGATGCTGAAGCTGTAAGCCCAAACACTGCATGAACTGGAACGTTGTGGGCAAGGCACACTGTTCCCCAGCAACTGCTGTTCTAGTTAGTGAATTGAGGACGAACAGAAAGCATACTACATAAAGAGACTGAGGTGCTAAGCAAATGGAATTAGAAATCATGACATTTGGGGCATTTTGTGATTGATGGTGTGTTGGTTTTATTGGTTGTTTTTTGTTTGGTTGGTTTTGTCTTTTTTTTTTTTTTTTAAGTTACTGTTTGTAAGCTAAAATGCTTCCCCAGGAAAAAAAGGGTCATGAGAAAATGTACTGAGTAAAAGTTAACCATTGCCAAATTCAAGTGATGAATAATTGACGTTGTGGTGTTATTGCCATGTTTTAAAAATGAATCTGTGATTGAGTTTAAAAGGGAAAAGAAAAAGCCACTCTACCAGTTCATTTAAACCAGAGATTCCCAGGGCTCTAAAGACAGTTTTTCTGCTTTGGAATGCAGTCTTAAACTTCCCAAAGTCCTTGGATCTCAGGATTGGAAGAGACCTTGAAGGTCACCCACCAACCCTCCCCCCAGTAGGAATTCCCTCTAAAGCTTCAACAGGTGGCCAGCCCCCACATCCTCTTGAATGCTTCCAGAAAAGATGAGTGCAGCCCTTTGTTAGACAGCCTTGTTTTCTGTATGTTAGTGGAACAAAAAAAAAAAAAAGGAAAGAAAGTCTCTGCATCCATTGTCCAGTTTAGCAAACCTCTTCCCCGGGAAACGTGGGACTATTTCCATGGTGCAGCTTTAGAGTATTCAGGAATGTATAGGGTTAAAAAACAGACAAGCAAAAAACCCCACCAAAAACCAATAACAACAACAACAACAAACCACCACCATCAGCTGACGGATATTCCTGCATGCTCCATTTCAAATACCGATACCCACTCTCACGCTAGCCTGCCAAGATTCCACTTAGCAGCTGGTCCCCAGTCACATCTCTTTAGTTGACTTCCCAAGCAAGCCTCCCAGAGGCATCTGAAGATGATGATGCACACACACAAATATTTGTTAATAGACCCAGAGTTTGGGAAGGTTTTAGTCATGGCTCACATTTTACCCTTTCCAGATGAATACAGAGGCTGTTGCAGCCCATGCTTTCCCCTGCTGCCGGCCGGCCAGTTGCTTGCTCTGAGCTAACCCTCTAACCCTTGGGAGAGAGTATGCAGCAGTTTGCTGATGTAAGCTGCATCAGGGCTGAAATGGGAGCTCCCGCTATGGCACTGGCTCAAGTAGCTAATCTACAGAGAAAGTATTTTGGGGAAGACATCTTGGTTGCACCCCTCACTGCATCTTGACTAACTGCTTCCAACTCCCGGGCATCCAGGGACAGTCTCGTTGTTTTTTCTCTCCCTGGGTCAGCCGTGTTAACCATTTGTTAATTTCTCCTGAACAGATCAAGCAAAAGTAGATAATCTGCCAGAAGAATTAGTGCGTAGTGCTGAAGATGGTAAATATCTTTATTTATCTTCATGTCTGTCTGTGTGTTAGGTTCTTGGGTGATTTGGGCAGCCACGGGGACCCAGCTGTTGGCAAAATAGAACGTCATTTGCTGCTATGTAGTGAATGGTGTTTAACTTATTATGAAATGGCTCTGACTTGATTCATTTCAGACTAACTGTATTCTTAAGGCTGCTTACTGCCAGTGGTACCTTATGAAGATCTCCGCAGAGACCCTGGAGAAGCAAGGGTTTCTATTAATAGAAAATTGTATTTCTATGGATAGGAAATTATTTTGCCACCCTCCCTTGCAGAACTCCTTGCAAAGGCAAGAAAAGTAGAATGGGTTCTGGGGTTAAGTTATTAGTATGCTTTTGATTCTCAGCAATTAGATTCTGTGAACGCCACCGGTAAAGGCTTAAGTTCAAAGAAAACGGTCCCAGAACAAAGGTGGGTAGCCTGCCTCTGCTTATAACCAAATACAAAGTGTAAAGCCAGGGTGAAATTCTTTCAATCTGAATATTAAGGAATGAGATCTAGAAGTTTGTCAACAATCAGGTATTATTTGAGTCAATTATAAAATTATAATACTGCCTTAATAGGGGGAGAAAGGAAAATGGATCTCATTTTAAAAGTTAAGCTTTTATGCAAATGTTAATTCCTAGTTGTATGCTGCTGCATCTAGGATTTTTGTTTGTTTTCATGGTGCTTTTGTTGTTATTTGGTTTGCTAATTTTCCTTTTCCATAGCCATGAAAATGTGTGTTTACTGAGCCTTCCATATATAACAAAGTTTCTCAAAGGTTATAAATAAATTCTTTTGTGTAATAATTTTATCTTTCTCATATTTCTTATACCCTCTTTGAGGCACAAGGCTTCTTATCTTCATTTTGCAGATAAGGAAAGCTGAGGTATAAATGAAATGAATTGTCTAAGATCCTGTAGGTAGCCAATTAGGAGGAGGACCAGGAATCTTGGCTTCATTACTCCTGAGCCAGTGCTCTTCCCCATTTTCCATGCCTGGGCTTAGTGAACTAAAGGAAAAGTGCTAACCATCTCCAATCTGGATCTTGGATGTTTAGTTGAACAGGAAACTTTAAAGAAGCTAATGAACATTCACACTGGGGAATGGATGAAAGCAAGCTGAAAGCCTGTCAGCTATATTCTGCTGTCACAGTTGTGACGCCGACATTTGAGCTTTCATGTCTCTCTTTCCTTCTATTAAAATGATATTTATTCTCAATGTTGCCCTTCTGAGTAGATCAAAAAGCACATCAGGAACCAGATACGAATGAATGCGTACCAGGAAGTGAGTAGCAGAATCTTTTTCACAAATGACTGAACTTTGCCACTCTCGATGGTGTTAAATATAGCAAAATAACTAACCCTATTAACCACTACTGCGGCATTTCTTATTGGTACTGAATTTCTGCAGCTTACAAAACTATTTCATTCTGACAAGGATTTTATTAAAGCACTTTATTACTATCTGTTGAAAGATGATAATTTGTGGTTCCACTAAGAAATTTATACATCTAAAAACCCTTATACTAAAAAAAAACAACAAACCACTATATATTTATTTTATGTAAATCTTAATTAGCATCATGTTTCATATATCTTATGTCATTGCTGTGTGTGATTCTGTTTTATCCATCTCTGTGCTCTTTGAGACTTTGCATAAATTAGATTGACACCTTCTAAATGCCATTTGGCTTTTATGTTGCTATATAATCTTGAGTTTTAGATCTATTTTATAAACAAGACTGTAGACATGACCCAATTTGTACCTTACCTGGACTTTAAGAATTGTACTTTGACAATTAATACATAGTGTGGTCATGTATGTCTTTCTTCCTATCTACATAAGCATATTTTATTGTTTATAGGCGTTAACCCCTGAGGTTCAAACTGACATTATTATTCCATGTCTAATGCAAGTGAATGTCTTTTTTAAGTGAATTTTTTAATCTAAAAAAATCCATTTTATACTTGTGGTGGTTAATGTAGGGTCGTTTTTAGTAGCAGCCGAATCACTCCCACCTTACAACGTTTGTCAACCAATCAGTACCCTCCACCAGACAAAGATAATTTTTTATTTCTTGTTTATTCTTAAAAATTATTCTCTTTATTCAAGATAGACAGTACTTTAAAAAATGTGTTTGTGGAGCTTCGCAAAGCAATACGGAAAGTGATTGTGTGTTATCTTGCCTTCCCAGTTTCACTCAGTTTCCTAAACATAGTCGCTGGATGTATGAAGATAATGATACAAATGATTGCCCTCAGGAGCCCACAGGATTTGCACTCACAATTCCCAGGAGTCTTTGGATAATAGACTTAAAGGGATCTCTAATGGCTTAGTCCATAGGGAGTCGCACTGCTACTGCAAAGACCAAGCCTCTCTGTTGTTCAAATATGCCTGCGATTCCTCAGGAAAAAGATTAGCAGTCTCATCCTATGGACTTTACAGCCTCAGAAAACCAATGGAAGGTCACCTGGGTGAATTCTTCCTATTTTATGAGAAGGAGCTGTGGTGGTGCATTGTGTAATGTATAGGGCAGCCAACTGAAGAAGAGTCATCCATTTGAATGCACCACTCGCTCTGAGAAAGATGGGAAATATCTTCCTTTTACGGTATCTTCCAAAATGATCCTTAGTGCCTGAATAGAGATTATCCCTTTTCTCTAGGTGAAAAGTATATTCTTACCACAAGATGAAAGCAAATACATAATTGAACATAAACAAGTAAAAGCCATTGTCCTGTTGTCCAGCCACCAGTGCACCCTTAAATAAGGAAAGCTCATCAATATAGTGTTGACCATATCTGAGTGGTGATCAGATGTCATAGCCTACCATATAACTTAAAACTTATAGCATTGTTATAATAAAAATGACTCTAGTGGCATCATAGTTAAAGGGCTCACCTACTAATCAAAAACTCAGTGGTTCAAATCCACCAACCACTCCATGCAAAAAAGGTGAGACAGCCAGTTTTTGTGAAAATGCACAGCCTTGGAAACCTTATGGGCAGTTCTCCTCTGTCCAGTAGAGTTACTATGAATTAAAATCAGTGACGGCAATAGATTTGAGTAATATTTTTTTTAACTTATTGGACAGTGAGATTGGCACAAGATAGAGTAGGGTTTAGGGCTGTCGTACATAAGGTGGCTATGAGTCGCAGGAAACTGACGGCAAATAACAACAACTCATTGGACCATACCCTGGACTCATAGGACCTAATCTACATTGCTGTTTGAATAAATCATTTCTATATACACCCTCCCTATCACATTCTTATTTAACAGAAAGTGATTAAAGCAGATATCACTTTAATGAAACATACATTTTGGTATGTATTTACCTACGCAAGCACTACTCTATGAGGAAGAATGTATCTAATAAGTGCTTAATTTTCAGTTTTTTTCCTTTGTGAATTTTTTTTAAACTAAGAATTCATTTCACTAATTCCTAGAATCCAGATGAAGCCTTGTGATCTTTGATATGTGCTGTTGAGTGATTCCAATATGTATCCAACCTATGGTGTAGAGTAGAATCGCCCCATAATAGTTCCTCGGCAGCATTCCTTATAAGAGCAGATCTCACTAAGTCTTTCTTTCAGGGAGCCACCAGAGGGTTTGAATCACCCTCCTTTCAGTTAGCAGCCAAGCACTTAATTGTTGCATCACCACAGATCTTTCCTTCAAATTATATATTGAACGGCAATTATAGGGTGGTCGTTTTTCTACTTTACTAGTATTCCTTTGAAAGACAAAAGCTAAATCAATATATGTGTGTCACAGTCAACAGATACGTTAGATAACATCAGATAACTTATTTATTTTAAAAAATAATTATATAGGGTCAACTATGCCAGACACTTAGTATCTTGGAGAATCGTAATTTGTTCTGTATAAAAGCACAGATTCATCATAAGAAAACTTTGGATATTATGGTTCTCAAACAAAGGAAAAATCATTTTCTATCTGGAAAGATGAAAATCAAGGATATATAATCTACCATCTTATTGTGTCTTCCATACATAATTTTACTATATCAGAAAGAAACCATATACTGCCTTCTTTTATTAAATTCTTAAGAATAACTTGAATTGTTCTTGGCCTTGAGGAACCACTATTAATCATTCCCTACATTGACAAGTGTCAGTTTATTTCCATTTTCAAATAACTAATTTTGAAATTGTACTCTTTCCTAATTCTGAGTGAAATACTATTTAAAAAAGTAATTCTTGTAATCACTATGCAAACCACCTCTGAGATACTGATTCGCCAGGGCCATTTCTGTTATTAAGTTGTATACGAAGATCCTTTTTGTCCAGATGAAATAGTTTTCAGCTGCAGCCTGTTAGAAACACACACACACACACACACACACACATATATATAGATATATATCTCTTGAGATGAACCAAGAAATTACAGTTTACATCTAGTGATTAGATATTCTAAATGTGGAAAGAAGTTAAAACTAATTCACACTGACAATATTCAAGTCCAGCTGCAATTCTATAAAGACTAATTTTTTTTTATTATTCATTTTAGTTTGGGTTTGGTTCAATTTCTTGCTAGTTCTCTGTGTAACTTAGGAAACCTGCATGTTGCTTACCTTATGATTTTGTGCATGTAAACTACTGTGCCTCTAACCTTGTTACCAAAAATGTCTCTGTTCATAGATAAAAGGAAAAGGTGTGTTCAACTTATGCCTAACATTTAATAGTTGTGAGACTAATTTTGAAATGTAAATACTGCTCTTTAGTTTCCACAGTGCCTTCACAACCTGGTAATCAGTTTTCCAACCCCGACAAACTCAAAAGGATGAGCAAGTCTGTTCCAGCATTTCTCCAAGACGAGGCAAGTTTGTCTTTTGTACTTTCAGAAAAATGGAGCCAGGCAGGTATATTTGCTTTGCCAAGGACCAGTAAGCTTTCTTTATTCGAGAGTGCTTTGCCAAGCACCAGGGTGTTTGTATTCCACTGTGGCCGAGCCCAGAGAGGTCAGCAGAGCTGATCCTTTCCTTCCACGTCAATAGAAACAGTGTTGTTGGTCCAGGAACAAGGCAAGGCACACTTCATCTGACTCAAATAGTCAAACTCTTTTTGGTCAGTAGAAGAAAACTGCATAGATTTGTTTTAAAGTAAGTACCAAGACTCAAGACAGAAATATATTGTCATGAAATTACTATTCCTCAGTAATTTAAAGTTTTTTTGTGTAAACTTTGTGTGGGTAGCATGAATTAGCTTGAAAGCATTTAAAAAGAGCAAACTTTAAAGAGTCTCTAGTAAAGGCTGACACTTGAAGTTGCACTGCAATCCAGAAGGTACACAGTTCAAATCCACCAGCTGCTCTGTGAGAGAACTGCCTCTGAAAACCAGCTGGAGGCTCAGCTATGAATCCGTTCTGGCTTGACAGCACACAACAACAGCTAGTATGTGGTAGCACTTTATATTATCTCCTTAATCTCCCTAACTCCACTAGGAGGTACATACCTTTCTTATCTTCATATGTGGACAACTGAAACTTAAAGAGGTCAAGTAGCTTTATTTAGCTAGAGAGTTAAAGTTGGCACTGGATACACCTCCAGAGCCCACCCTTGCACCATATTATTGCAAAGAAGAACAAGACAATGAATTAGTGACTATTTATTGAACAACTAGTTTGAGCTTAATATGTTGTTGTTGTTGTTATGTACCATCGAGTTGCTTGCTACTCATAGCGACCCTATGTACAACAGCCCTAAACTCTGCTCTGTCCTGTGCCAGTTACACTGTCTCTGACATTCCTATCCTGATTACCCCAGTCACTGAATCAATCCACCGCATAGAGGGCCTTCCCCTCCTGTGCTGTCCCTCCAGCCTCCCAAGCATGATGTCCTTCTCCAAGGACCGGTCCCTCCTTAGAACATGTCCAAAGTATGTTAGACGGAGCCTCAGAATCCTTGCCTCCAAGAAGCCGCCCAGTTTAACCCTCTCCAGGATAAATCAGTTTGTTTTCCTAGCAGTCCATGGTACCCTCAATACTCTTCTCCAGCACCACAGCTCAAAGGCATCAATTCTCCTTCTATCCTACTTAGTCATTGTCCAACTCTCTGATGCATAACGAGTAATAGCAAAGACCATGACCTGTTTCAGATGCACTTTAGTTTCCAGAGAGACACCATTGCTCTTCAGAACTTTGGAGAGGTCCCTACTTTCTAAAATCTAGTCTTCAGTAACTAAAGCAGGAGTGGCATCCACTTCCTAAACAGCATGCCTCTGGAAACTCTATGAACTTTGATAAGTCACTATAGTTCTAGAAAGGCTTCAGGCCTTTTGTTCATAGGGTCGCTAGGAGTCATGCTCGACTCGACAGCAATCAGCAACACAACAACTTAATATTCGTTCTAAAACCTCGTCTTCAGTAACTAAATATGATTGGTACTATTTTTTTACTTTTTTTTTTAAAGGAAGATCTTTGGAGAGGCTAAGCAACTTTCCAAGAATCCAACATATTACTAAGCATTATATTTGGAGCTTGAGACTTTTGACTTAAAATCTCTTGTTCCTACAGTCAGGTGGTTAGAAGCCTAGACTTAGGAGTCAGACAGTGCCAGTTGTAGCTCTGCTTCTTATTTGTTGCGCAGTGATGGTTTCCTAGAACCTACCTCATGAGGATTTGAGAAGTCAGTGGGATAATGTAGCATAGTGCTTTGTGCATAGTGAGTACCCAGAAGGTGGTACATGAAGTTACTATATGCAGTTTTATTTTTATTTCTGGTAGTAAAATAGAAGACTGCATCTTTATACATTCTCTTATGTGGAACGTTAAGGTAACCATCAGATACATTCTAGTACTCACTCTTGGACCTCCCTACACTCTGTCTGCCAGCATTCAGCTCTTCCATATGCTTATGAACCCACATTATAGTTTCATTTGTAGAGAGATTCACTCAGCCTTTGGAACGAATTCATTAGCAACGACCCAGTAGCAGGCACCCCATGGAGTTCCTGTAGTTTTATACCTTTGAAAATCAGCTTTGCTCTTCCAACACAGCAGGATTTGGGTGATCATGTGAATGAATCACATTGTACTTTGAGAGGCAAATGATACTAGTCACTGAGTTGGGATTTTTCCTTCTCGACAGATTTAACCTGCATTCTCATAGCTCCACTCAAAACAGATTCCAGATCGTTGAGTTTGTGGATCACAGATGCCAAAATCAAACTATATCATTTTACCTTTGAGGTTACATAGGGTTCGATTGGATATTTAAAAGAAAGGGAGGTGAAATCAGGTCTTCCTTGTTCTTCTGAGGCTAAGTATGGATCACATTTGTTGAGCGTCAACTAATTGAAAAATATTGTTCCATGTTGACAAGAGAAAGTCCTCACCTTTTAATAGTGCACTGTTGTTGTTGTTGTAAAGTCAGAATCAACCCATAGCTGACCCTCCAATGAGTTTTCAGAGACAGTTAATCACATGGGCGGTAATTGCTCATCCTTCTCCTGTGTAGCAGCTGGTGGCCTCGAACCCCATGCCTTAGGCATCACAGCAACTAGAGAGCTCCCTTAGGAGTCTGATAAATTAAGTAGAATGTGGTACATTTTGTAATAGAGGCAAATGGACGCTAAGCATGTAAGGAGAGAGTTCGGCAGCAGAAGCATACTAAAAATGTGTATTTATATGTACTTTAATCCTTGAGGGGGGATTCTTACCCATCTAAATGATGAGTGTTGTTCTTTAACCTTTTCTCAATCTGCGTTAGAATTGGCATCCATTACATTGTTATGTGATTGCATGGCCCTGGAACTGTTGGCATGAACTAACATGAAGGTAGTCCCTCATCTGCAGCAACCACTGAATTACCCCATAAACATTCCAAACCAAAAGAAGCTTATTTTGAATAATAAATGTCTTAAAATACTATCCAATAAACCTTAGATCAAATACAGTAACATTTGGTTTAGCTACCTCCTTTTTTGTCTCAGGTAAATATTTCCTGAGAAATAAGTATTTTCTTGCATCATCCCTGTTCAAAGAGATTTATGCTCTTCATATACTTCCCAATAACAACATAAAATGAGCCCAAGAGGACTATAGGGACATAAAAAGTGGCTTAAAGCAAAAGCATAGCTGTTAGTTAGATCAAACTGGACTGTCTTTTATCTAGTTTAATAGTCTCAAGCAAAAGGTTTAATTTTTAGGGAAGTTAAGGCTGCATTAATAGTGAGAGGAATTCAGAGTGACTTTTTTTATATTAATGATTTTTTAATGCAACTTACATACTTTTTACAGCATATTTTTTCCATTTCATTTTCCCCCATTTATTCCCAGTTCATTTTTCTCTTTGAAAAGAATTTAAAAAAAAATCTTTCATTGTTATATAATTCCCACCCCTCAAGTCCACAGTCCACTTTACTATGCATTTCTTTCTCTGGAATTTTGTCATGAAAATAATACCTAATCATATATTCCTTTTAAACAGTTCTCTCCCTCATCTGCTTCAATGCAGTATACATTATTTATCCCCTCTTTCCTTAGGTTCCCTCCAACCCTGATGTCAGTCCCATTTTACAACAGTGGCACTGAAGTATTTGTCCTTTTGTGACTGAGATATTTCACTCAGCATAATATCCTCCGGGATCAACCATTTTGTATAATATTTCATGAGTTCTTTGTTTTTCAATTCAGCATAGTATTCCACAGACTTCATTTTTTCAAATCACAGCAAATCTTAGATCATTAATTGGGTAAAAATACTTTCTTATAGATACCAAGAAAGTTTTAAAAGCAACATAAACATACAATATTAAAAGAGTGACAAGAAAACTTGGAATAGTGCTGCTTTTTGTAGCACTTTTGGTGATAAAATAATTTATTTTAGTAGATAGCCAGTGCACTCCTTAGGTCAGATCCAAGGCCAACTATCTATCTCATCCTGAATCACATTCCCTGGCAATTATCACTAGCATCTGTCTACTGAACTTGGGAAGTATCCTAGGTGAGATGATATCTTGGTATTCCAAGACACCATTTTTCACCTAAACAGCATTTTGACCGTGTATAATTCTGAATTTAAATGCTATGTGTATTATGTGATGTTTTGTAGAGTGATGACAGAGAAACAGATACAGCATCAGAAAGCAGTTACCAGCTCAACAGACACAAGAAGAGCCCGAGCTCTTTAACCAATCTTAGCAGCTCCTCTGGCATGACGTCCTTGTCTTCTGTATGTAAACAAAGGCACCATATTAATGAGTCTTTGCTTGTATGAACCTTGCTGTGCCATGCTTCTGCTCGTTGTAGCAAAACACTTTCTTGTTTATCCCTCAGGTCCTCAGGACATGAGCGTCTTCTCTAATCCGTTAGCTTTTAGCTAGCTGAATCTTCCTGTTCTCTCATTTCTCGTCCCCACGCTCCCCTCTTTTTCTTCTTTTTTTGGTTTAGAGGAAATCATTATAAATGTAGCTAGTTTAGTTTCAAACTGTTTCAAAAGTCTACATTACCAGCAAGGTGAAGTATTCAATCTTTCTATGAAAATGAGGTAACTATAGTTAAAGTCTGTGTGTATCAGATGTATTTTCATTTACTGTGTGTATGTATAGAAATGCACCTCTCTTTAAAGGCCTGAAAAATAAAAACACCAATTTTTATTGAGCTGGCAAGTTGATTCTTTTCCTTATGGAAGGATTAAGAAATTGTTTTGAACTCTGAAAATAGTTGCTCAGGAAAATTTATTTACGAATTAAAACCTGTCATTTTGTAAGCACAGAGAGAGAGAGAGAGTGTGTGTGTGTGAGAGAGAGAAATTTCTCTCTGATATACACACATCAGGGATGCTAATCAAAGATAAAGCTGTGCTTAAATTCTTGCAAGCTGACATTTAACCCAATTCTTTGTTTTGATTTGTAATCATTTAAATTGACTTTCTGCTGATAGCAGTCTAGTCTCTGCCCTTGGGAAGGTTTTAAACCCCCTTCATCAGCCATTGATTTTTCCCTGTCTGACCTATAAAACAGTATGACTCAGTAGACATTTTCCTAGAGCCAGTGCATGGCTAATGGAGTCAAATTCTTTTTTAGTGCCTTGTAAATTTGATAGAGCAATGTGGCACTGTGATTTGTGGGCCTGGGGATTCTCACATCCTCTGTCTCTGACCTTTAACTACAATAAATGTCTAAAAATGAAGATCTTGATGCCATCTAGCATTAAACTACCCTGTTTTGAAATGAACCAGTGACTAAATAACTTTACATTTCATCTTAGTTTTAAAGGCAGGTTTTATCTTGGGCTTTGAAGGACTTTTTTTAAAAAATAAAAAACAAAAACAAAAGACCAGCCATGTATTTCTTGCCAAGTTGGGTTTTTTTTTAATATGTTTTTATGCCATATTAGATTAATAGCTTTTATATGCTCATTAGAGAAATAATGGCAGGCAAGGATTTTTATCCCTGTTCCTGTGTTGTGTCGTGTTGTGTTGTGTTGTGTTGTGTTGTGTTGTAGAATGAGATGGAGACAGACCCAACATGTTTCTGATGCTTTCAGGTGAGTGGCAGTGTGATGAGCGTTTACAGTGGAGACTTTGGCAATCTTGAAGTTAAAGGGAATATCCAGTTTGCAGTGGACTACGTGGACTCACTAAAGGAGTTGCATGTTTTTGTGGCCCAGTGTAAGGATTTAGCGGCAGCAGATGTGAAAAAACAGCGCTCAGACCCGTAAGTACATTTTGGAGTCACATACTTTATCTTAGTTCTCACAACTGTTCATCCTCTGGGAATGGGTAGGGAAGAAAGCAGCCAAAGGAAGACTGTGTGACTACTTTAAAAGCAATGTCTGAAAAAGAGAAGTTGGAGGAAATGTTGTTTCATCTATTTTACAAGTTAATGTGCCAAACTTATTAAATTATGAAAGAGAAAATCCAGAATTTTTCAAGTTGAAAGGGATCTTTGACGTTATCTTGTCCATTTGGTTCCTTTATTTTGCAGGGACGGAAACAAGAGTCAATGATCTCTTTTCCAAAATTCAGAATGACGAATGAGGACTTGAGCTGAGGTTTCTTTGCACAACATTGTCACACTTTCTTTACCATTAGGGACACATGGGGTATAACTAAGGAGAGACTGTGGTAAAACACTTGTCTGCCAACTGAAAGGGCAGCTGTTGGAACCCATCAACTGCTCTACAGGAGAAAGATGTAGCTGTCAGTTTCTGTAAGATTACAGCCTTAAAAAACCTATGGGGCAGTTCTATTCTGTCCTGTTACAGAGTTGTCATGAATCAGAACCAACTCAAAGGCCACAGATTGGGGGGTTTTGTTTGGTTGGTTGGGGTTTCTTGTAGGCACGGAAGAGGAGGCTTTTAATTCCTGTTATTTAGGACTGTACGAATAGTTGCAATTCTAGTTTGAGGTAGTTTCAATATTTAAATAACATCCTACTTTTAGGAATAATTACTAGTTCATCTTTTACACCATGGGCTTAGTATGTCAGTCTGTGCACAAAATTAAATGGTATTTCCAACTTGTTCCTGTGCAGAAGTCTGGTGCTTAATTATTTTGTTGGGATCAACCCAGTCTTTATTT